CTCCCCCTCCCAGGCAGTTAGTTTAGCTGGAGTAGGTTTCAAAGTGTGGTGCACCTGCACTACTACACCCTGTGGATCCACACCTGCTCCACAGCCATAGGCACCAGTCATAGCGACATGTATAAAGATGTTATAATGACAGCATAAATCAGCCCTGGTAAACAGACTCCTCCTTGGGGCTCTGTGATTTCTTTTCGAATTTCACATATTTCAGTGTTTTTCCCTCTCTTTTTCTTTATCTCCTCATTTTTGGTTCCATTTGTTGAATTGGACTCTGTCATAATTCCTGCTGTAGTTTTCTGCTGTAGTTTTATGGCTACACAAACTACTCTGGAAGTAGCATGTTCAGAAGCTGAATAAAAACAACTAACACAGGCAACTTATAGATGTGATCACTGGGACCATTCACTAAGGTGGCTTTCATACTAGATACACAAGTGTATCGAAAAAACACCGAGATTGTGAAGTCAAGCACTCAAAATTTGGATCTCTATGACAAAATAATGGCCTTGCATTGCACATACACTATATATGGGGGTCCAAAAGAGAGCTTCACTTGAGATCACATATAGTTACAAGAGGTGATCTGGCTTGTTCTCACTGATCACACCTGCTTTGTGTTCCTCATTACTGAACTCGATCTTTGATTTGTCCTTTTGAAGGCCTCATAGGGGCTAGGGACAGAAATTACACATAAACTGGTATGTCAGAAACTTTCATATCTGTAACACAATAGAAGTTTAGTGTACATAAACTGCTTTCAAAATGACTGAAACCGGTTTAAGGTAAACCTGAATGGATGTAGTATCAGACTTAATTAATTTAAGTTAAATTGGTTTATTAAACTTCTTTCCCAAATCCCCTAGATTCAAGTTAACTCACAGTCCCCCACCATCCTAGGATGCAATGCACCTCCCGCACAAACTCTTCACAGGGTGGGCAGGCTAGCCTTGGGCCAACTTGTCTGCTGCAGCCAACCAGGGAAGCATGCTCCAGCACCCCCTGGCTTCTGGCCTCGGCCACTGTGGCTGCATTTCCAGAATCAAGTGCATGTCTGTTCCCTTGCTTATCCGTTCAATCTACGCAGCTTAGATTAACTTGCAAAGATTGAAATGATTCAGCCTTGGGCTTTTTAATGGTTTGTACTTAGCCCGTGGTCCAAAAGCCAATGAAGATTAATGCAACTAACAGACTTACAAAATAATCAGAAAGTTTAATATTTAGCTACACTAATTCCCTGTAGACAAATATTTGGAGCTGTGTTGCCCAGAAAGCAATTTGTTGGCCAGCTGTAATAGACAGGCAGAGGAGATGAAAACCAGATGGAATAAGCTCAGAAAGCTGCAACAGAACAACAGTGGCATCAGGTAGAGATTTAGAAGGCAGCTGAGCCATCCTCAGACATGGGGCCCAGTTCTGCCAGGCAGGTGTCCATGGATGTCAACTGGATCAGGGAGCTCTCTGCCTTTCTTAAGATCACGACTCACAATATGAAAGGCTAAGAAGCTCTGGATATATCTAAATCAAACATGTGGGAGGCACCTGCCAAAGGCCTTTCATAAAAGCAGTGTGTTAATCAGAGTAAAAAAATGACAAAACAAATATCCTGACAACAGAGTTTCTAAGTACTAATCAGGATATTGCTGAAAACACTGAAATGAGAAACTACCCAGAAAGTATCAATGAAGCAAAAAAATGAAAGCCCAAGAGAGCCTGGAAATGAATTAAGCCTAAGTCTCATAAAAGTAGCTGATGGAAAAATTCTTAAATAGAAGAAACCGACTACTCTGGTATGCACCCATCCACAGTCTTCAAAGGAGGAATCTCATCCACATTAGGTTGGCTGTTACACAGAAAGTTTAATCCTATGGTGAAGATGCCAAGACCTCAGGGTCAGTGCAGAGCCCCTCGCTGAAGAGATGGATCCTTAGAGTGTGAAGTGAGCTGTTCACCAGCTCCTGTTCCTTCCTGCCAGAAGCACAGGTTTTTCATTTTAAACAGAGCAATAATAAATGGGGTTTAGCATGTGTTACTCATGAGTACGTGCTATTATACCTTCCCCACAGAGCACAAGGAATGGTCTTTAGCTCAGTGCACAATCAGACCTTATCATCAGTTCTTGTCATCACCCTGGTTAAAGTACAGTTCCACCTTGCAGCTCAGCCAGGTCCAACATGGATGCTAGGTGTTGGCTTGGAAATGGCATTTAAAGGTCCGTTTTTTGAGAATTAGCTTATGGATACAGATATATGCATTATAAGGGGTCAAGATGGGCATCAGGGGTTAACTGGATGTATAAAGAGCCTGGGTTTCACACACAATGCGTCTCACAGCCCTGAAAGCAGACAGGCTGTCTAGCACGACAAGTCCAACAGATGGACACAGCCTGAGAATTAAGAGGGACATGCCATAACACGAGATCACAGCCTCCAAGTCAGACAGGTTGTCTAACACAACAAGGACAGACAGCCTGGGAACCAAGGAAGTATATACCATACTGTCCCATAATACGAGATAAGTAACACCAGCTACAAGGCCCCAGAGCAGCAGGGGGGCTGAGTCCCAGTTTTGGGGTAACAGACCAAATTAGGAAAAGGCCCAGAAGGCTACGTGGATGTGTGACCACAGAGAGACAGCCAACCAGAGATAGCCACGAATGAAGAATCATCAGGAGTCATCAAAGGGAAAGGAGAATACAAAAGCAGAGACTTGAGATTTGTCACGACCCAGTGATTTTGGTGCCTCGGCACTATGGAATTTCCTGGCCACATGAGAGCACCTTTGCACGGCAGAGTGTTCTGCTGCAATTGAGAGCCCGCGTGTAGGAGAGAGTTCCTGCCAATTTGCAGTTTCCTTTGCAGGATGCATTTCTCCTTTGCAGCACAGAAATGCACGGTGCAAAGAGTTCCCGCTATTCGAATGTAAATTTGTGCCCCGCTATTGGCCAGTGCTAAATTATTCACACGTGGCGGCTAGTAATTGGCTCGCTGGCCGTTTAAAATTCCGCGCGACTTCCGCCCAAGTCGAAGAGCTTTGAGCACGCTGCAGAGTGCCTCTGAAGTCGCCAGCTGGAACAACTCGCGTGGTTGTTCAGACGACCGGACCACCTGCGTCGTGATTGCAAGCGGCGTGAGTAAAGTTTTTTGCAACCAATAAGTTGTGTCTGCCTCTCCATTCACTAGCCCGCCCTAACGTATGACCAATTTCTAACGCAACTCGAGTCGGCTCTGGCCGTCCGAGACAAGATTAACAAAAGCTCTCCTGTCCCTCCCTGTTCTTTCTCATCCATCCTTCTCTTCCTCTCTGTCCCTCCCCATCTTGCTCCCTGAAAGAGATCCCCATACCCGTCCACCAGAAAGGGTCCCTGAGGCCTCCGTGGACAGAGGGCACACACCAGCAGCCCGTCTCATCCACCCCACCAGAGGGGGGGCTATGGTCCTTGGCATCCCACCTACAAACTGCTGACATCTGACACCCAAGAGAAAGAGCCTCAGAGTAGAGCCTGCATCCTGACCAGATGTACTTTGACTCTGATGACAGCCCTAGGATTGGTAGATATAGGATTGTTTGTATTGTTGCTTTTTTGTTATCACCATCAATAAATTCGCCTATTATCAACTGGCAGGTGTTGCGGTTGGTTTAAGGTTTGTGCTCACCCAGAACAAAGGTATAGGGGCTGGGTCCAATTCCAGTGACAACACTGGGAATTGGCCAAGAGTCCCACGTGGGACAGAGCAATGGGGCTTGGAAAAGGAGAAAGTAAAGCAACCCTAAGGTATCCAAAAGATACATTTACCACTTGATCCCTCTTGTCTCTCTCTCCCCCCAAAGCAGTGCATAGTAAGTAGATTACTGATGGAGTTTCTAAGGTGGTCCTCAGAGCTCTCCCACAAAGCACAGCCCTCCTACCTATTCCAAACCTACAAGTCATGGTGAAACCATCCTGAGTGTGCCCCTGGCTGCTGTTCCAAAGCATGTTAGAGACAGACATGGTCACCCCAAGGGCAGCCTCAGCCTCTTGTTTCCAGGTCTGGTGGACACAGCATATGGCAGGTGGAGTGCTAAGGAATGTTTCTCAGCAGTGCTCTGAGGAGCAGTGAGGAAGGGAGCAACTTGCTTTATACTGCAACTTGCCTGTCTGCATCTTCCAGGTCTGTTTCTCCAGGAGTTTGCACATTGATATCTTGGCAATGTATAAAAGCAATTTAGACTGCTTCTGCAAATATTTGTGACCTTTCGTTTATCCCATGTTAAATTTCATTTATTCTATGTTGCATATATGCTATATTTTTGACAGAACAGACAAGAGTGGTTAGCTGATATCATCTGTCATCTTTAGTTGCCTTTCTATTTTTCTGGCATATCCCCCCCTGTCCCGGAAAAGTGGAGTGAGCCCTAGGTGCTGTTGACAAACTGGCAGGATGGCTGGGGTTGCTGTTCTTCTTCTGAATCCTCACTCCATGTCTTGCTGCTCAGGGGTTTAGCTCTTGTTTACCATCTTCCCATGCACCCTTACGCGATAGATACAAGTGTAATCTGAGTGGCCCCAGTTGCTCAGCATGGAGAATTTTATATAGATGAAAGATGCGGGAAGTTCCATCTGAAATGTAATAAAAAGTTCTGAGAAATCATCATTTGCATGATCTTTACTTTCTGTCAGTCCCATTTCCTTTCTAAATTAAATCCTACTGATGGACTACATTCAACCATAACAAAAGCATGGAAAAGTTCCCATTTAAATCACTTGAAACTGCTTATGTCAAGACTGAATGTGACCCCTGGCAAGTAAAAATCAACCCCCAGAGCTCTCTGGTTGGTAGCAGCTATGGCAAGACGATGCTGTCTGCAAGGTAACCTGCAACACTGGCCTGCAGCAGTAGGTTATAGATTCCTACTACTGAGAGGACACAGCACACACCACCTTGTGCTCTTTCTTCCCAGTCCCCTTCATGCTGTTGCCTTGCTTGAGTTAGTTGCAATTAAACCAAAGCATTCTAAAAACCAGGGTCCTTAAACATTTCTCCTTCTTGCTCCTGATATAAATTACATGAAGGGATGGCTGGGGAGGGAAACTGGCTAGTATGAGAAGGCGGACCCTTCCTGGCTTCTGGTGTAAACTGGTGCCACTGACATAAGTTCAGACCTATGCCTTATGAATCTCTTGGCTCCATGTCTACATACTCGCTTTTGTAGGGTAGGGAGTAAGGCTTTGTCAGAAGCAGTCAACTCAGCCAGTAGCCTCTTTTGAAGTTTCTGTTCACACGGGAACTGAAGGAATCACCTATCCCTCCCCACACCAGTAAGACAGTTGCTGTTCTTCAAAACCAATAGGATGTTATGCTTTCCCTA